GCTGGGGAGAAGGCTCCTGAGGAGTGACAGCGGGCGCAACCTGGCGGGGGGAAAAAACGCCCGGGGGGAATTTGCGCGTTTTGACTGAGAACTGTACATGCGGAGAAGTAATGAAAATTTTTTGTTGTCGATGTGTGTACAAGAAGCAGTCCATCGCCACTGAGTTTTTCACTGTTCTTCGTCTTCTTCTTCGTCTTCTTCTTGGGGCTTAATTTTCACCCCAGTCCACTTAGCCGTTTGGTTGAGTGTTTACCTCTGAACGTGGAGGTCGCGTGTTCGATCCTTGGATCGGTGCGGACGGACAGATTGTTGTCTGGAGTGAGAATGCAATTCTTCTTCTTCTTCGGGAATTTGCGCGTTTTCAACTGAGAACTGTACATGCGGGCGGAGAAATATTATTGAAATATCTTGTTGATGCGTGTGCAAGAAGCAGTCTATGGCCGCCGTTTTTCACTATTCTTCTTCTTCTTCAGATTCTTCTTCTTCCTTCTCCGGAATGTGCGCGTTTTCGAGCATGTCCGACCTAGTGTAGTGATGTCAATGATCCTTTGCTTGGATGGTTAGCCATTGCCCATGCTATTCTTACTTCTATTCAATTCAATTCCTCCTCCTCCTCCTCCTCCTCCTCCTGCTGCTGCTTCTTTGTTCTTTCATTTCTTCTTCTTCTTGGTCAGTTGCAGTCTCTCAAGCCGCGGGTGCGGACGTGGAGGTTGTGCCAGCTATATGTCTTGAGGGCAAGGCCGGAAAGGAAATCTTTACTCTGGGCGGATTGCAATGGTGGATGCGGGAGAGTGGTTGCCCCTTGATAAGTCCTGGGGCGCAGCCAGGCCAAACGCATAGGGGAATGTGCGCGTTGAGCTGATAGGTGCTCTAGTGCTCATCATTGAGACATGGAAGCATAGCTATTGGCCTCGCTGTTTCAATTCTTCTTCCTCTTTTCTTAGAAAAAAAAAAAAAAAAAAAAAAAAAAAGACTGGTCGGATATGCTGGAGGTGGGGAGTAAACAGTAGAGACAGGGAAGTTAAGACGTTGGGAGGAAGGAAAAGATATTATTTGTGTCTGTTGACAGGAGAGTCGAAGTTCCTCAGTCTGAAGACTGTAAGCTAAACAGGCCCCAATGCTGTCAGGATAACTCCGGGTAGAATTGTGAGGTCCCCGGCCTCGTTTAAATACGGTGGAATATAACGGTTCAGTGCTTTTCAAAAAAAAAAAAAAAAAAAAAAAAAAAAAAAAAAAAAAGAATGGTGGGTGGTGCCGTAAGGCGGATCTGGGGAGGAGCCCCTTGAGGAGGAGTGCCAGGAGCGCAGCCTGGGCCCAAGAAAAAGCGTTGGGGAATTTGCGCGGGCGTTTTCAACTGAGAATTGTACATGTCCTTCTTCTTCTTCTCCTGTTCCTCCTGCCACCTTCTCCACCGCCCTCCAATTTGCTGTTCCACCCTTTGACCCCCGCAATTTTTCAGTTCCTCCTCTCTTTCCGCCACGTGTCTCCAACCCCGTCCGCTCCACGTGGTGCATTTCTTTTTGTTTGTGTTTTTCTCAAGACGCAGCCCCTTTATATTCTGGAGGCAAGCAGTCCCGTTGCTTATAATCCGCAAGCATGAAATGTACCAAAAAAAATAAGAATCATAACCTCGTAGAGCCATCTTCCAGCGGCGGGAGAGCTGAATGAGATTATATGGAGCTCGTACTAAGGGCGGACCTTTTTCTTACGCTGTCCGTGGGTTAAAAAAAAAAAA